GAGAGAGGAAGGAGAAAAGGGAGGGAAGGAAGAAGGGAGGGGGAGGGGGATGAAGGGAGGATGGAAGGAAGGAGGGAGAGAAGGAAGGAGAATGAGAGCAGGAGAGAGGGAGGGAGGGAGAAGAGGGAGAAAGGAAGGAAGGAAGAAATGGGAGGGAGGGAGGAAGTAGGTTAGGAGGAAGGAGGGAAGCAAGGAAGGAAGGAATGGAAGGAGGTTAGGAGAAGGAAGGAAAGAAAGGAGGGAAGGGAAAGCGGGGGGGGAGGCAGGAAGGAAGTTAGGAGGAAGGAGGGGAGGGAGGAGTGGAAGGAGGTTAGGAGAAGTAAAGAAGGAAAGAAATAACTTTTAGAATTCATATTTGTCCTGCTTTTCTTTCAGTTGGTGGCATCTGCACGGTGATTCAGACCAAAGCCAAAACCACATTAGACGAATGGGGGGAGAATTACTTTCTCCTGGGCCCTTATTTTGAGCACAACGTGAAGACGCAAGTGGAGCTCTGCGAACCTCCCAATGCAGCCGTGAAGAAAGCGATGGATGTGATCAAAGCCAATGGCTACCAGGTGAACAAGTTTCCCCCCTAGAAAACCCAAACATTTAAAAGAAAAATTCTAAAGCCTGAGAAGAGTTACGGGGTTCACAAAGCCCCTAATATCCTCTCTTCACATCAATAAATAAACAAACAAATCAAAATTATTATTATTATTATTTAATAGATGGCAAACTAGTCTCTGCTCGAATAGGTCCAAATTAATTTGCAGGCTTTACCCTAACTCTTCCTCCTCCCTTTGACAGGTCCATTTTGGGAGATGGCTGATTGAAGGAAGCCCCTACGTGGTGCTCTTCGATATCGCATCAGCCGCTTGGAATCTGGACCGGTGGAAAGGGGAATTCTGGGAAGCCAGCCATATCGGGATTCCTTACCACGACCGAGAAGCAAACGATGCCCTCATCTTTGGATCCCTCACTGCCTGGTTTTTGAAAGAGGTGCTGTGTTTGGGCCTGGCCTCCTCATCTCTCTTTCTAACTGCAAGGGTCCACTTGGGAAGCTCATCGCCTCTAGGGCTCCGGTAGCCTCTGATGCTGGTGGCCCTGCAAGCACTCAGCCTGCCATATACAGGAGGGGAGGGCAGGGGAGAGGAGAGGAGAAGAGAATGGAACAGAAAATATGGAATAGAAAATATAGAATAGAAAATATGGAATAGAAAATATAGAATAGAATAGGACAGAACAGAATAGAACGGAACAGAATAGAACGGAACAGAATAGAATTGAAAATATGGAATAGAAAATATAGAATGGAATA